GACCTTATGACATTATACCTGCTGAGTCCTTCCGCCCCCCCCCTGCTGCCCTCTACAGAATCCACCCCCCAAAACGCCAGGTATTTCCCTCCTTAGAGCTGGCAGCCCTACTTTCCCCTCAGTGCCTGTTGGTAGGCAACTAAGTTTGGTCCAGTCACCTACTTTGGCCTTTGGGAGAAAACATATTGGGCCAATCCTGATAGGGTTGCCAACTCCAGATGGGAAATTCCTGGAGATTTGAGGCATCGAGCCTGAAGAGGGTGAGGTTTGAGGAGGGGTGGGACCTCAGACAGGTACAATGCCATAGACTCTACCCTCCAAACCACTCAGTACCTCATGGGGAGCCATTGTTGCCAATCTCCAGGTGAGGGCTGGAGACCACTCAAAATTATAATTGCTTTGCAGAAGGGAGGGTGGAAGTCAGCTGAAGTCAAAGGGCAGATAATGGTAGGTTGATGGTTAGCTGGGAAGGAGATGGGGTTGCCAACTCCAGGCTGGCAAATTCCTGGGGATTTGAGGGGTGGAGCCTGGAGACGGTGGGGTTTGCGGAGGGGTGGGACCTCAGACAGGTAGAATGCCATAGACTCCACCCTCCAAACCAGCCATTTCATCCTGGGTAACAATTGTTGCCAATCTCCAGGTGAGGGCTACAGATCACTCAAAATTACAACTGCTGTTCAGGGAGCAGAGATCAGTTCCTCTGGAGAAAACAGTGGACTCTGTCATTATACCCTGCTGAGGTCACCACAGCAAATTGACACTTTTTGCCCAAAGCCAGAGCACTTCCCCAAAGCCTCTTTCTAGATCTCGTTGTATTTATTTCCACAACGGGCTTTACTGCTAGTCCAGCTCATAAATGACCAGAACATTAGCAGCATCCTTGGAATTTGCCACACAGTTCCCATTCCACAAGATACACACTGTTTACTGCATCAGGTTGAAGCATCAGTTAACATAAGCAACTGCAAATGTAAACTACTGTTCTAGAGTTCAGCCTTGTGTGTGTGCGCAAATCATTCTCCTGCAGCGCCACCCAAAGTAGAGTTATACGCTTCTGAGTCTACTGAAGTCAATGGGTTTAGAAGGGAGTCACCAAAATCACCACTGTACTATCACACCGTGGCTCTGGAAAACTGAATTGTGTTCTAAAGATGTTGCAAGCCTTAGAGACTGCCAGTGACACAAAACTGGATTTAAAAAAATACCACTAAGGATGGGTGATACATGAAGAATCTGAAGAGGTTATTCTGTTAAAAGTGAACTAACCAAGACCAGGTTTTCCTCAGGAACAATTTCAAATTTTCAATTTCTTACCACCAAGTACTATATCAATTTGGAAAATGGAATGCACTAGTTATTAGTCCAGCTGCGTGCTCAGTATGTACCTTTAGTACACCAGTATAGAAAAACCTCTTTGGGGCAGGTATTTACTGCTGCAGCTTAACTATCCAATACAATGCTTTCTCACTCATTAATTTCGAAACATGTTGCTCTTGTTTTAGCACAGATGTATATAGCTCCTCTGTGAGAGGAGAAAATATATATAATTAGCTTCTTTGCCTGATAAGAATTCAGCTGCAGAATCTGGATATTTAAAAAGGCACTTACAGCTACCAATTTAAGTTCTCCCAGCACCGCTTCACTGTCTTAATCTCAGACTCAAGGCAGCTAAAGAAAAGGTTACTGTGGGGTCACAGCCAAAAAACTCACAATCCATTAAAAAGAACACATTAGTAGTCTACCTGTATTACAACAGCTGGCCTTCTGATTCCATCCGTATCAGTCCGATTCAGCAGTGTGGGCATCCTGACCTTTTGCTAACAAACAAGGGTTTTTTTCCCTATGCCAAAGTAGCATTTTCTGATCTCACAGTGCTTGGTCCCTAAAGCAGATCAAAGCCAATGGGAATTGAGTGACCCATCTTAAAAATGCCATATTCTTCAAGCTTAGAGAGGCATCAGGAAGTCTCACACAAACACACACACTTGCAGATGACATGGCCATCCATTTGATGTTGTGAGCTGGTTGAGAGTGTACTCTGGTAAGATGCCAGAAGGATTTACTGCCCTCCCATCAAGTCCAAATGACTCTGTCACCACTCTGTAGGATTTAAGGTGGGGAACAGCACACAGTCTACAGTTGCCAGGCAAGCATAACCTCTCTCCTAAAACAGCAAGTGGATTTCCCCCCCCCCCCAATCCCAAGATAGCAAAAAAATTACAGTAACACCAGAGTGGGTCTTTCATCATGCTAAGTTCAGTGCAGCTCACAGTGTACTTCTGGAAGTGAACAAAAGCTAAAGTAATAGTTTGTCCAGAATGGCCACAGATGAAGGAAGTCAAATTTGTTGATTCCAAACCAGGCATAGATGACATGACTGCTAGGGTTGTAACTACTGTAGTAAATCCCAAACTCTTCATAGTACATTGAGAAACTTTGGATTACAATCATACATCATACCCACTGCACGCACGCACCCCAAGAACGCAAGTACAAGTTCAGCAGCATGTATTGTCAGGCAAGTGTACCGCAGACACTAAACGACATGGTGAGAGATAATATAAATATAACAGGACTCCAAGTTAAAGGTGAACAATTCAAACTTCAAGCTTTTGCCAATGATCTTGTATTTATTCTGGAGGATCCAGCAGCATCCATATCGCATTTGCTAAATGTGATACAAAAATATGGCTCTCTAGCAGGACTTAAAATAAACATTAGGAAAACTAAGATCTTGACAAAAAACTGCACTAAGGAAGAAATAAATAAAATCCAATTGATTACAAGCATTGAGGTGATAAGTAAAGTTAAATATTTAGGTATTACAA